GCTGCGCCAACTAGCGGTGGGGTATCTGAAGCTGGCTCGTAACCCGAATTTTAGCTCGCAACTCAAAGCAAAAAATCGGCCAAGAGATGGCTCATATCTCGAAAAACTCGTTAGTCAGGACACTCGTAAGTCAAGGCCCCACTGTAGGTGAGCACCCATTAGCTGTTTGCTGAGGGTCCTCTATGCTGGGCGCTGTGGAGGGGATTATGGGTCCAGGAAGTAGTAGACAAGAGTCCTGCTCTTGTGGAGAGGAGGAGAGGAAGTGACTGCCATACTCCAACCCAGTGAGCTGGACGCTGGCGCCAGGATGTGTGTGACCAAGGGGCACCGAGATGGACGCTGGCGCCAGGATGTGTGTGACCAAGGGCAGTAGGGGCACCGAGATGTCGCTGAGTGTGTCAGCGGGGTTAGGGAAGGCTTCTCAGAGGAGGCAACGTTGAAGAAGAGCTTTCACTGCAGGAGGGAGAGAAGCATGCTCACTGGGCACGTTGAGGGAGGTGCACGTGGTCAGGACATCTCTAGCTTAAGGGGTGAATGGGAGTGTGGTGGGGGATGAGGCTGCAGAAGTGAGAAGAACCACGTATGCCTAGCCAAAGGACGTGCACTTGACTGTTTAGGCCGTCCAATCAGCATTAAGAGCTGGAAGTGACATGGCCAGATTTGCATTTCCAAATCCTCACATTGGTGCCACCCTACATGATTGATTAGAGAGGGAAGATCTGGGGCAGGAATACCAAGGAGTCTAGGGACAGTCATTGAAGACCTGAGTGAAGGTGGTCACGGTGGGAACAGAGAGGAGAGGAGTGGTTGGAGAACAATGTTGAAGGTGGAAGGGACAGAATAGACCTTGGCCATGAGGAAGAGAAACAGGGTTGAGAATTCTGGGGTTCCTGGATTGGGCCCCCAGGGAAACAGAGGCGCCATGACCTGAAGCGGGAAGGCTGAGGACAGAGTGGGTTTTGCAGAGAAGGAGTGAGTTCTGGTTGGACATGAGCGTGGGGTGCCTTTGGGTGGACAGTGGAGACGAGTCTGTGTATTGGGGATCAATAGATGGGATCTCTAGGTACCAAAGGGCCACGCTCATGCCCAGCAGGTAAGGAAGAGCCTCACATACCTGAGCAGCCAGGTGGAGTGGGCACCATTTTTCATGAACTGCAGGGTGGTGTATTGAAAGGCCTTCAACGTGCACGGGTAACATGGTAGGCTTACCTTCTAGAAGTCAGGGAATTTTGAAACAGAACTGTTAGTTCCCAGTCAACCTCCTGGGGCTTCCTGCTACCTGCCCAGGCGCCTCTCAGGTGACCTCCACAGGACTGATGAACTTGCCTGGGGAGGAGGACACCACTTGGCTGGCATCGAAGCTGCCGCCTTAACCTGCCCTCTCAGACGTTCCTCACCTCTGTACGTGACCAGGGCCATGAGCACTGCCTCCTCCCACAGCTCTCTCCCTCGTCCTCATTGTTTGTTTCTCCGGTTTCCTAGGTGACCCCATTTAAGCGACTATGCAGGGAAGTGAGAATTTGTAACGGTGGCAGGTAATGAGAGAAAGCTGATGACAGTGAAATGTTTCTCTAGCCAGAGTGAGCCAAGGGTGCATTTTTCCCAAGTGAGCTAACCCGTGCGCGAACGCGGTGGCGGGGCTGTGAACTGAATCTTCCACTGACGAATGCACCTGGTGGCCTCCGGTGAACCGGCTCCGGAGGCGCAGTGGGAGCCCGGGGGACCCGTCTCCAGGGAGGCCAGAAGTCCTGGGGTTGCCCCCTGGGTTCTTACTGAGATGCTGCTTGGGAAGCAGTGCCTCCTTCGTGGGGAGAGCTGAGTGCCGTTGGCACTGAAAGGTGATTAGCTTCAGTCTGTAAATGGCTTTTAATAAAACTGTCAGCTTCCAGCAGCCCTTTTACCGGGACGACCAGATAGGCAGATTTAGGACCGGGTCTGAAGTCCTTTGAGGAAAGACTGCTTTTATTGTTGGAGATTTACTTATTTTATTTTACTTATTTTTTGTTTGTTAATTCTCACCTGAGGATATCTTTCCCAGTGATTTTCAGAGAGGATTAAGGGAGGGAGAGAAGGAGGAAGGCAGGGAGGTCTGGCAGGGAGGGAGAGAGAGATCAATGTGAGAGAGACACATCCCTGACCAAGGCCAGGGATCAAACCTGCAACCCAGGTACATGCCCTCTGGTGCACAGGCTGATGCTCTAACCACTGAACTCACCTGCCAGGGCTGTTATTGGAGATTTGAATTGTGCACTCTGGTCAAAGCACGGGGTGGGGCAGCCTCACCTGGGCGTGCCAAGAGTTGGCACCTGGAACCTTCCTTGCCTGCACCTACTGCTCTTCCTGAGGGTGAGATGTTGCTCGTTACCCCTCAGGTAGAGAAAGGTGCAGCTGAGAACTAACCCCTGAGTCTCCCCCTGGCTCAGGCTTGTGGCTGTGCAGGCCTGTGTGATGTCATAGATCTTAGCTCTACAAATCACAATCCTCAGAAACCCAGTCTTCCAAAGCGGTGGTCTCTGCTTACGCTGTCTCAAGGGTGCTCGGCCCCGGGTGCTGTCTTAGAGGCCCACACTGGCTCGCCGACCAGGCCTGGAACCACAGGGCAGCGAATGTAGGCTCCCGAGGTGGTTCTTCCCACTGTTGCCCAGGTAGACCTGGGGTTCTCAGCAACCCAGGTCCACAGTTGCAGGCTTGAGGACTGAGGAGTGCAGCTTCATTCATATGCTCCCCTCCACTGTCTGCTCCTGGTGACGAGCGTCCCTGCACTTCCCTCACCGAAGCTGAGCAAGAGCTTCCCTTTGACCCTGGCCGGTTTGGCTCAGTGGTTGGAGCGTTGGCCTGCAGACTGAAGGGTCTCAGGTTCCATTCCGGTCAAGGGCACATGCCTTGGTTGCAGGCTCGATCCCTGGTCCCAGGTCAGGGCGTGTGCAGGAGGCAACCAATTGGTGTGTCTTTCACATTGATGTTTCTCTCTCTGTCTGTCTCCCCCACTCCCTTCCACTCTCTAAAAATCAATGGGGAGTGAGGGGGAATATCCTCCGGTGAGGATTAACAAAACAAAACAAAATAGAACTTCTCTTAGGTCTAACTTGCATGAAAAAATGGTGGTGGAGGTGAGCCCCAATACAGGAGGAGGCGTACAAGTCAGATGTAAATAAATTGGAATCCTGGCTCCACCTCTTACTGTAGGATCATCTACCAGAAGTCAGCAGATTTTTTCAGTACAGGCCAGGGAGTACATATTTTAGGCTTTATGGGCCTGTGGTCTCTTTCACAATTACTCAACTCAGAGGTTGTAGCATGAAAGCAGCCATAGACAATATATGAACGAATGAGTGTGTCTGTGTTCCAGTAAAACTTTATTCACAAAAACAGGCAGCTGTCAGGGTTTGGCCATGGTTTCAAAGAGATTCTGAGCCTCAGATCTCTGTCTGTAAAATGGGAATAATTATACCTATTTCACAGTGTGGTGAAAGGAGTAAGTAAGATAGCATATGGCAGGGGCTTAGCACATAGCCTGGGCGCTGTGGTACCCAGGCAACGGTTGCTGTGTTGCTGGAAATGGCTCTAACTGCACATTTTCCAGGAATGGTTTTGACATTCAAGACTTTTCAGAAGGCTATGGAGAAATGCAGAACCATGGTTAGCAGTAGAATGGGAAGCAGGAGGGGCTGCAGATTTAATGTGTGGGTTTTGGGGGCGGGGGGAAATCTGGCATTATGACAATTTAGGGAAGCTACAATGAGCCTATCAGAAAGCGTGTCGGAGCCACAGTTCTGGATTTAGAACGTGATAGGCACTTTTGTGGTTACGAAAGAAGCAGAAGACATACTCTGCTCTTGCAGTTGAATTAGGGAGGCAGCAATAACTGTTGTGAAGCAATAAGAGACCAACTGAGAACCTGGAGCCACCTGGGAGGTGGCTGACCCAGGGGAGGGTGTAGGGGAGACATCCTGCATGAGCTGGGGGTATCCAGGAGGCTCACCTGCAGGAGGGGGGACTTGAGCTGGATCTGGAATGATGAGTGGGATTCCAATTAGGAAAATACGAGTTTACCTTTGGATTCTGGGTCAGAATCTTCATTTTGTATAGAATCAGAGTAAAGACTGTCAGGCTTTGCAGGAAAAGGACTTTGCCATGAAGACTCAGAAATTCTTTTCAGATCCCATGTAGACAGTCCTTGGGCACGGACATCGGTCTCTAGCTTCCCAGAGTTTCAAACGTCGGATTTTTGGAAGGAAAGCAAAGCTCTTTGAGGAAGAATTGGTTTAAGGGGGAAGGTCTGAATTTTGACAGCAGTGCCTGGAACCAGTTACCAGGACCCCATCTCTACTGCCCTTTCTCTTCTCCCTCATCTTTCTTTTGTGCCTTTTGCCTTCTAGGTTGGACTTGGCCCAGTCTCTGGGACTCACTCAACTGCAGGTGAAGACCTGGTATCAGAATCGCAGGATGAAATGGAAGAAAATGGTAAGAAAGAAGAGAGTGAGTCCAACCACGAGCCCGTCATGGCAGAACGAATCCTTCCCGCAGGGCTGGGAAGAAGGCAGGAAGGACCATGTGGTTTGGGCTCATGGGATTGGAAGGCCTTTTATGGTGCCGGCTGGGAGGCAGGCTGTGTGAGCAGAAGGGTAAGCCATTCCTCCTGACCTGGATTTCCTGATCAGAAGGATATTCTTTTCTAGTTTCCTTAGAAATAACAGAAAGTGAAAGCCCACAAGCTTCTCAGTTGCTAGATTTAGCCCCACCTGCTAGCCTTTTCAAAGAACTTCCTTCCGCCTCCCACCAGCAGCCAAGAATAGACGTCATTACTCTTTGTTTATAATGACATTTAGGGTACATCTGTTCTCATAGCTGTGTGTCCCCTAATGCAGTGATTCTCAAACTTCAGTGGGCACCAGAGTGACCTGGGTAGCAGGTGACAATGCAGAACCCAGGCCCCTCCCAGGACTCTGATTCCCTGTCACAGGACGGGGTGGGAATGTGTGCTAACAAGCACTCAGGTTCCTCTGATGCAGGTGGTAGAATGACTGCCATTCCCTAATACTGATCTAGGGCCTGGCTAATGAGTCCGCCCATCTTTGTTTTTTATTTATTTTTTAAAATATATTTGTATTGATTTCAGAGAAGGGGGAGAGAAATAGAAACATCAATGATGAGAGAGGATTATGGATCAGCTGCCTCTTGCATGCCCCACGCTGGGGATCAAGCCCACAACCCGGGCATGTGCCCTGACTGGGAATCGAACTGTGACCTCCTGGTTCATGGGCCACCGCTCAACCCCTGAGCCATGCTGGCCAGGCCCATCTTTGTTTTTTAAAAGAACTTATTAGAATAGATATCACTTAAAGAAAGAATAAACATCTGCATTTGAGGAACTCAATTTTCATAGTAGTTTGCCCCTCTTCTTGTTAGAGGCATGTTAAATCAAAGCTTTTCAAAGTAGGTGAGTGTTTCATTTCCAGTTTTGTAAACCACAAGGGACAAGGTCAAAGCCCAGAAGAAAGGGGCAGGGCCGGATGAGGGTGGGAAGAAGCTCCGCTCTAGTCTTCAGAGACCAGGTACGGCAGGGCCTCTGACCTGGCCCTTTCTCTTCGCATGTGGACCAGGTCTGCCGGGATGATGTTCTAACTTGCTAACCCATCTGGTCACCAGCCATAGTTCCTGGTTGTTTTAAGGATGGGAATATGAAGTCTTTCACCTTTACCAAATAACTAAGGATTTCCCACCCACCCCCCAACCTAGTTTTCAATCGATATTTTTCAATAGGTGATAGATATTCAGACATTTTCTCAATTTCGTATTTTTTGTCAAATATTACTTTTTCTTAAAAGTGTAGTTCTTGCCATGCCTGCTAACAATGAGAAAAATAAATAAATAAACTACAAATGAATATTAATGGAAAAAGTAGGAAAAGGCCAACAAGGTAGCATTTATTATATATCCTGAAAGGAACTCCTGGGCGAAGTTCATCATTTCCTCTGGGGGGTCCTGACCCTGCAAGGGATGGAAGGATTTTCGGCTGGCGGTGGCTTGGCTCACGAAGTGCTCTCTCGAAGTGAGGTGGCGATGCCAGGTGCATGTACAAACACAGATCGCATGATTCAACACCCATGCAGTTAGCGTCTCTCGTGAACCATGCCTTGTTCTAGGCACTGGAGGAAGTACTGAAATAAAATATAGCCCTTCGTGCAATTTATGATCTTGTTGGAGAATCAAGGTCCAGGAAGCAGTTGGGGATGACATTTTCATGAAGTCCTGGTTGTTTATTTAAAGGTGTAATACCCCATAAGAGTTCAGAAGAGAGGTGTTGGGGACAGCCGCAGGGAGAAGTTGAAATTGAAGGATGAATGGGATTCAGTTGAATAGGTAGTTACTCTAAAATTTCTAGACTGCTAAGGCACCCCTGAGACGGATGGCGGGAACCTTTGGGGGGTTATCTCTGGACGAATCAGATTTGGGAGTCAGCAACTCTGTTCCCAGGCTTGCCCCTCCCTGGCAGATTTTGGGCAAGTCCCTTCGCTGCTTTCTGTGCAAGTTCCACCGCCCACCTCCTTCCCCGTCAATCACCGTCATGGAAATCAATGTCCCCGGAGTGGCAGAGGCATTGTTTAAATTGGTTATCAGCAATCTTTCATGAGTCAGATGATTAGGGAACCGACAGCCTGCCATCTCTGCCAGCACCGCCCAGTGCCCGTGGGACCACGCGTGTGCCCTGGCCTCTGACGTCACTTGTTTTTCACCAGCTGGTTCTTGATGGTTATCAGCGCCGTATAGAACAAGATGGAAGGCACCTAGCAGACTTAACCTCAGAGAGCATTCCACGGGCCAGCCATATTCAGGTCTGCTCTTGCAGTTGAATTAGGGAGGCAGCAATAACTGTTGTGAAGCAATAAGAGACCAACTGAGAACCTGGAGCCACCTGGGAGGTGGCTGACCCAGGGGAGGGTGTAGGGGAGACATCCTGCATGAGCTGGGGGTATCCAGGAGGCTCACCTGCAGGAGGGGGGACTTGAGCTGGATCTGGAATGATGAGTGGGATTCCAATTATAGATATTCAGACATTTTCTCAATTTCGTATTTTTTGTCAAATATTACTTTTTCTTAAAAGTGTAGTTCTTGCCATGCCTGCTAACAATGAGAAAAATAAATAAATAAACTACAAATGAATATTAATGGAAAAAGTAGGAAAAGGCCAACAAGGTAGCATTTATTATATATCCTGAAAGGAACTCCTGGGCGAAGTTCATCATTTCCTCTGGGGGGTCCTGACCCTGCAAGGGATGGAAGGATTTTCGGCTGGCGGTGGCTTGGCTCACGAAGTGCTCTCTCGAAGTGAGGTGGCGATGCCAGGTGCATGTACAAACACAGATCGCATGATTCAACACCCATGCAGTTAGCGTCTCTCGTGAACCATGCCTTGTTCTAGGCACTGGAGGAAGTACTGAAATAAAATATAGCCCTTCGTGCAATTTATGATCTTGTTGGAGAATCAAGGTCCAGGAAGCAGTTGGGGATGACATTTTCATGAAGTCCTGGTTGTTTATTTAAAGGTGTAATACCCCATAAGAGTTCAGAAGAGAGGTGTTGGGGACAGCCGCAGGGAGAAGTTGAAATTGAAGGACGAATGGGATTCAGTTGAATAGGTAGTTACTCTAAAATTTCTAGACTGCTAAGGCACCCCTGAGACGGATGGCGGGAACCTTTGGGGGGTTATCTCTGGACGAATCAGATTTGGGAGTCAGCAACTCTGTTCCCAGGCTTGCCCCTCCCTGGCAGATTTTGGGCAAGTCCCTTCGCTGCTTTCTGTGCAAGTTCCACCGCCCACCTCCTTCCCCGTCAATCACCGTCATGGAAATCAATGTCCCCGGAGTGGCAGAGGCATTGTTTAAATTGGTTATCAGCAATCTTTCATGAGTCAGATGATTAGGGAACCGACAGCCTGCCATCTCTGCCAGCACCGCCCAGTGCCCGTGGGACCACGCGTGTGCCCTGGCCTCTGACGTCACTTGTTTTTCACCAGCTGGTTCTTGATGGTTATCAGCGCCGTATAGAACAAGATGGAAGGCACCTAGCAGACTTAACCTCAGAGAGCATTCCACGGGCCAGCCATATTCAGGTCCCTTGAGGAAACAAAAGTGCCAAGTTTTCAGTTAACCTCAGCAGCCATTCATTGAGCACAGGCAACAGAGGTGCCAAGATAAGACATGCACCCACCCACTAGGAAATAAAATTAGAGCCCTGGCCGGTTTGGCGCAGTGGATAGACTGCGTCAACCTGCGGACTGAAGGGCCCCAGGTTCGATTCCGGTCAAGGGCATGTACCTAGGTTGCGGGCTCAAATTGTGCTCTGGGCAGGGACCCCTAGATACAACCTTCCTCTCCCGGGCCCTGGTTGGGGTGCATGCGGGAGGCAACCAATTGATGTGTCTCTCTTACATTGATGTTTCTCTCTCTGTCTCTCCCCCTGCCTTCCACTCTCTAAAAAAAATCAATGGAAAAATATCCTCAGATGAGAATTAACAAAAAAAATTTTTTTAAATAAAATTAGAAAAGGTATTCAGTCCAGTGGGGGACACAGACCTGTAAACTAGTAATTATACACAATGATCAGGGCAACAGCAGAAGGAATTACAGGATTCAGAGGTGTATAGGGAAGGGGGGGCATGGAAGAGGCGCCATCTAAGTTGGTGCTAGTGGATGGATAGAAAGGTGCCAAGTGAAGGTGGGAAGAGTGTCACAGGCAGAAGAAAGGGACAGGAGTATTGGGGGCACTCAAAGGACTTCGGAATGGCTGGGGCTGAAGCGTGAGGGCTATTGTTCAGTCGCGGGTCTGAACTCTGACTCCCCCAGAACAGCGAGGCATTGTTGGGCTCCTGATTGCTTCATGCATTTTCCTGGTGAGACGCTTTCAAGGCTATCTCTTCAGGTACTGGGAAGGAAAGAAAAAGCTAATTGGGTAATAAAGATGTCTCAAGGCTAGTAACCTAATTGGAACTGGAAAAAGATTAGCACTTGATTCTCAGAGTTATTCGCACGGCTGCCAAGGGCAGTGCTGCCAAAACCAAGATTGCATCTCTGACGAGTTTTTACCGGTCAGCATTGGTAACCTGTAGCGGGTTGGGTAAACGCAATCTTGCACACGAGATGGGACACTCTATTCCATCTCTGTTTGGCTTTCGTTCCAGTAGAACTCACAGGGTTTTGCAACAGGCGCAAGAGCGTCATCATCAATGGTCTTTTTTGGCTCTGGAATACGATGCAAGCAGAATTGTGCTCCGGGAGGGGACCCGTGGATACAACCTTCCTCCCCCAATCACAGAGGTGGGTGGGTCGCATCCTTATCTTTTGCAGTGAAAGTCTGCAGATAATCAACAATTCCGTGAAACTGCTACCAGTGGCCACCTGTGTCGCCTTGTGCAGGTCACTTAACCTCTGTGTACCTGTTCCCTCATCAGTAAAAGCCTAATA